CGGGAAGGCCGGGAGCGCGGGACCCTGGCACGACCCGTCTCCCCGCTCCGAGCCCGCGTCCTCTGCGGCCTCCCCGGCCGGCTGGCGACCCGGCGGCGCCCCCTCCCGGGCGCCCGCGCTCCTGGGCCCTGCCCGCCCCGCCCGCGCGCTCGGGGACCGCAGAGAGCCGTGCACTGGCCCGACTGGAGCCGGTGGCGTCTGGGGACCGCATCTTAGGCTGCGAGGAGACTACCGAAAGGAAACCGGCTGAGTCCGGACCGTTTGAGCGGTTTTCTCCTTGCCACGAGCGCGTGTGAAAAAGGCACGGAGTTGGGTTGGAGGGCGGCCGCCACGCCTGCCTCCCGGACGGGGTGCGGTAAGGCCTTGGGGATGCATTCAGATTTAAGGGGGACTTTTGTTAAAATTTTGTGGGGAAAGCTGTGAAGGAAAAGATCCACATCGAAAGGCTGGGCCCCTTTTTTTGTTCATTTGGGTTTGATTTTGAGGTCAAGTGCAGAACCGGATCCTTCAACTGTAACCGCCTAGAAGGCAGGGCTCCTGGTCGTTCCCTCATGCCTGTCTCTGATGTGGGTGATAGATGTAGGCGATTTCCGAGTTCTGGAGTAAATAGCAAACACAGTCCTGAGTCCCTGTACAACCCATTCTTACAACATATTTCTGAATTGGAAGACATAGCGGCTAAAAAAATTCCGATCTCCATCCCCCCCCTCAAAAAAATGAACTTTAGAAAGGTATGGGAGAGGTTTTCTAAAATCCCAGGACATAGAGTTCCAGCAGCAAACACACATCATCTTCATTCTAATAAAACATGGTGCAGCGAGAGCGCTAAACGTCAGTCTCCCAGGGGAGAAAAAAGGAAGGTGGGGGAGGGCTTGAATGTGTTGATTTGGGGCCAGCCAACTCCTTATGAATAGAAATGCTAGTGATCTTGAGGCTTCCGGCTGTGTAAGTAATAGCTTGTGAGGGTGTGACCATGCTGTTTGGTTTAAAGGAAGTTTTGAGGAGTTTATGTTTTGTTAAAAGATTTTTATCTTAAAACAAAAACTAGCCCCCTGCCTTCCTTAAATTGTGAAGTGAAACACTGATTTGTTCTGCCCACACTGAGTACATTATGGGGTCTTGATAGATTGCCACTGATAAAAGACAGGAAGTTAAGCCAAGTGGGGAGCAGAGGAAGGCTGGGAATCCATCGGTAAGGTCAGTATGAGTTAAAATGCAAGGCTTTGGGATCCTGGCTGCCATGTCTAGACAATTACAGACAGCACTAAGTATGGCCTCATACAGGAAGAAGTTTGACTTTTACCACTTCCTCAGGTTAGTTAAGGAGAAAGTTATCAGCAGTTATAAATGAAAGGACAAAAACAACCAATCAAAACGCTGATGGGTTCTACCAGTCAACAAAGGTGAAGAAATAGTCATTAATTTAATACACTTTGACTACTATATGTCTGTGTCTGTACTATTATTCACTCTGACAAGGGCTGTTTCAAATATATGGTACGTAAAATATATCATTTCACCTTTCTGCTTTTTCTTTTTAAAAGAAGTCAACTTCTTCTTAAATAAATTATGATGAAAGTACACAAAAGTATGCTAGGTCACCAGCATATGCCACTTTTTTGCTTTTTCTTTTTGAGACAGAGTGTCACTCATTTGCACAGGCTAGAATGCAGTGGCATCAGTCTAGCTCACAGCAACAGCAAACTCCTGGGTTCAATCAATCCCCCTGCTTCAGCCTCCCCAGTAGCTGGGACTACAAGCACTGCCACAGTGCTGGGCTGGTTTCTGTATTTTTAGTAGAGACAGCATCTCACTCTTGCTCAGGCTAGTCTCAAACTCCTGAGCTCAAACAATCCACCTACCTTGGCCTCTCAGAGTGCTGGGATTACAGGCATGAGCCACCACACCAGGCCAGTATGCAACATTTTTAAAAATGACATGGAGCAATATGTACTGATGTAAAAATATGTCAAGGGGGAAAAGCATGTTTAATATTAAACTATTTGTGGAAAAACATATACATATAAGTTCCATGTGCATAGAAGATTTCTAGAAAAAAAATATTTTTTATTTTGTACTTTATACCTTCTATGTATCCAATAGTTTGAATATTTTATCCAAAGATGCATTATTTTTATAATAAAAATATTAACAAATACAAAAAAAAAAGAGATCATCTAATTACAGCAGCATACCTGGCAGGGGAAATAGTTGTTAGTCATGAACCAAACAAAGCTTAGCAATTATGAATAACCAACCTTTCTATAATATGCTTATCTTCTCCCTTTCTTGGTTACATATTAAAATGGCAAATTTTGCAAGAAACTACAATGCAAAGAAGGAAATGTTTAACTTCATGCCTTCAATATATGTATACTTATATCTGAGGATTTGACTCTTTGTTACTTGTTTCACATTTGCCTTTATCTCTGATTGTAAGTTCCCTGAGGGCAAGGACCCTAAGATAAGAAAGGCACGGTACCTGTGTCGTAGAGAACATACACTAAATGTCAGATGAATAGAGTGGATTGTTGCCGCTGAGAAGTGATGTGTTATACTTGGAAAAAAAGATGACTATCAGCATCTGTGTAGCATATGTATTTTCAGTGGGAGGATGGCTCTGGGCCAGTTCTTCATCTCAACTTCTGGTTCACAAGGTTATAGTTTTGGATGGCCTGAATTAAAGATGCAGTGTCTAATACAAAGAGATAAGTTTATCTGAGAAGCTGTACCCAACATAGATTGGCCTTAACCAAAGCCATCAGTAAAAGTATGCAAATATAGGCGGCACCTGTGGGTCAGTGAGTAGGGCGCCAGCCCCATATACCAAGGGTGCAGGTGGTGGCAGGTTCAAACCCAGCCCGGCCAAACTGCAACAACAACAAAAAATAGCCGGGCATTGTGGCAGGTGCCTGTAGTCCCAGCTACTCAGAAAGCTGAGGCAAGAGAATCACGTAAGCCAAAGAGCTGGAGGTTGCTGTGAGCTGTGATGCCAAAGCACTCTACTGAGGGTGACAAAGTGAGACTCTGTCTCTAAAAAAAAAAGTATGCAAATGTATTAGGCCTACTGTAGTAACAGCAATGCCTGGGAACCGAGGTCTGATGAGTTCTAGACCTCACTCTACCACTAAGTCTTTCATAGACTTAGACAAGTGAGTGACTTTTAGAGTCATTCATTTCTACAGAATTCTGATTCTAAATTTTCTGATAAAATTTCCACCTCATCAACTTACACTAGATACATTAATAAAGAGTAATTCAGGCTCGGCGCCTATAGCTCAACCGGCTAAGGCGCCAGCCACGTACACCTAAGGTGGCGGGTTCGAATCCCCAGCCCGGACCCGCCAAAACAACAATGATGGCTGCAACCAAAAAATAGCCGGGCGTTGTGGCGGGCGCCTGTGGTCCCAGCTACTTGGGAGGCGGAGGCAAGAGACTCGCTTGAGCCCAGGAGTTGGAGGTTGCTGTGAGCTGTAATGCCATGGCACTCTACCCAGGGGGAAAGCTTGAGGCTCTGTCTCAAAAAAAAAAAAAAAAAAAGTAATTCATACACACAAAAAGACAAAGATCCACTGACAAAAATTATATGAAATGTAATTTGATATGTTATTTCTAGTTCTATGTATGAAAATTATGCTTTTGGGGTGGCATCTGTGGCTCAAAGGAGTAGGGCACTGGCCCCTTATGCCAGAGGCAGAGGGTTTAAACCCAGCCCCAGCCAAAAAAAAAATAGCCAGGCGCCTGTAGTCCCTAGCTACTTGGGAGGCTGAGGCAAGAGAATAGCTTCAGCCCAAGAGTTTGAGGTTGCTGTGAGCTGTGATGCTATGGCACTCTACCCAGGGCAACAGCTTGAGGCTCTGTATCCAAAAAAAAAAAGAAAATTATGCTTTTATTAGAAAATTAAATTATTATAGATCTTTTCCACATAAGAAAAATAGCAGGCTAATATACTGGCAGTAGATTTAAGAAAAAGAATCCTAATCCAAATAAGACGACATATGTGTATGAAGGATTTGATTAGAATCCAAAGTACCAGCAAAAGCAGAAGCATGCTGCTAAAACAGTTTGAAGGGTGTTATCAAAGAAAAGAAATTCCTTAAACAAGGATACCAAGGCCCAGGAGAATAGAGTTGGAAAATGAAGTTTAGAACAAAAGATATATTTGCTAATGTAAAATTTTGGAATTTAACCAAATCATAGCTTAAGATCAAGACATTACTCTCAGCGTGTAATTATTAAAGTGGTGGAAATTTACATAATTAAATATCCTCTTAGAACTCTGAATAGTCATCCTATTTAATTATTTTTAGGATCAGATTTATCCTCCTTTTCTGAACACATGAAGGAACTGAAGTATTGCAAGGTTAAGTGACTTACAGAGTTCTCAGTAGGTCATCAGTGAAATTAGTACAGAGAATCCAAACCTCTTGTCACTGATTCTTATGTTCCTGCTATTGGACAGTG